CACGTGGGGCGGAAACTGCTGTCTGGTTCTTAATAGAGAAAGTTACACGAGTCCTGCACTAACCAGTTTAGGAAAATCTTAGTGAACACTGCTTTGGGGTCCTAGCAGACAACTGTCAGACCTCAGTTCCCTTCTGTAGCTCTGACTATGATCAACACACATGGTTTGGGGGACATGACAAGTGAAAAATATTAAACACTTGTGATTAATGGCAACTTAAGCTTTAATACTTAAGTTTGTAAAAGCTACATTTAAATCATAAATGAGTCAATTTCTCAAAATCTGACCCCAGTATATTACATTGTCTCAGAAGATGAGCCAGTAGAAAATTTTAATCAATCATGTGGGCTGGCATCCACAAAGCTGGGAAGTTGAAAAAAATTTTTAAATAAGAGTTAATGCATAAATTTCGCCCCTGTGCCCCCCAGCCAAACTAGCCTAGGCTGGCTGAAAACTCACAGCAACACAACTGTCTCAGTCTCCTGAGTCCTGAGATTTTAGGTATGTACCACCACACCCTGCATGTTTCTCTTTTATTTCAGAGATACATGTCATCTTTAGGGATGCACCCCTTGCCTTTAATGCTCATAACATTGTATAAAAAGAAACATTTAAAATGAGGTTGAGGTTTTAGGATGAAATAATTTTCAAATAAAATGTATCTCCTTAACAAAAAGAATAATCATCATATTATTGGTGTGTGATCTATAGCCACAGAAAATTAAGTGTTTACTTGTTTTAGAGAAGGTTACAGATGAACAAAAACCTCCTATCAAAGTCATTGTGTAGAATTTTGAGCATTAATCCCAAAGTCAGAGGGCTTAATTTAGTTAGTTATTACTGGAAGGCACATTAAAGGAAAGCTCAGAACAAACCTAACTCTCATTTTTTAGCTGGCAGAGGACTAACAGATGTGTGTGTGTGTGTGTGTGTGTGTGTGTGTGTGTGTATGTATGTGTATGTTTTCATGCACAAGCATGTGTGTGCACATGTATACATGTACATGCATGCACATATGATTCAAGAAATCAGAAAGCAATGAAATGAACCCAGGAGCAAAATGGGAACCTATACTAAACCCCCAAGCAGTGTTCAAGGGACTTCTTTGATATGTTTGTTTGCCTAATGAAGTAGAAAACCTGCTACAGGTAGAAGCCAGCGAAAGAGGCAGGCAGATCTCTGTGAGTTTGAGGCCAGCCTGGTCTACATAAGGAGTTACAGGCCAGCTGCAGCTACAGGGAGACCCTGTCTCAAAAAGACCAAAAAAGAAGCCAGTTAAATGAGAAAAGGGGATAAGATACTCGTGATGTGGGGGAGCTATCCCTGGCACAATTCATCTTGTTCCCCACTGGCTAGGAACTGAAACTAGGGCCTCATGCATCCTATGCCACTGAATGATAATCCTAACCTCTAAACTTTCCATGGCTGTTAATGGAAGAAATACAAAAGAATACATTGCCTATTTACTTAAACATTCTTTTTAATTTTTTATGTTTTTTTTTTTCTTTTGAGACAGGATCTCCCTGTAACATATTTTATTTATTATTTTTATTTTATGTGTATGAGTGTATTGCCTACATGTATGTGAGTGTACCCGTGTTGCGCAATGCCGCAGAGGTCAGAAGAGGGCTTTGGATTCCCCTGGAACTGGAGTTAAGGACGGCTCGTAGCCACCATGTGGGTGATGGGAATTGAACCCGGGTCCTCTGCAAGAGCAGTCAGTGCTCTTAACTGATAAGCCATTTCTCCAGATCCATGTTCAGTATCTTAAGGCAGGACTGGTGGTATTTTTTTACCTTCCATGTGCGTGCTGGGAATTGAACCCGGGTCCTCTGGAAGAGCAGTCAGTGCTCTTAACCACTGAGCCATCTCTCCAGCCCCAAAATACATCACTATTTTACAAAGGTGTGCCTATCTCTGTTTAGAAAACTAAGTACGCTAGGACTGATCTTACCTCCAGAGGGTGATCCCTAGAACACAGGGCCCTTTTGTTTTGTGCTGTTTCATTCTGCTTTGGAGATACCCTGCAGTTTGGGTTAAGAGCCACAGAGCAAGAACTTGGTCTGAAGTGAGTCTCAGCTGGGACAGAGAGCAGCTGCTACAAATCATCCTGATGACACTTCCTAGAGCATCTCAGAATCTCCTGTAAGGTGCAGCTGGTTTTTTATAAGGGAGTCAGAAGGGGCTGAGAGAACATATGGCCATCCTGGCTCTCTGTCTGGTACTGACAGGAAAGAGTTTACATGAAATAAAAGGGAAAAATTAGTTATTAGAAGCCAGGGATAGTTATACCAAGATATCGCTTAAAATAGCGTCTTGTGATTTATGAGTCAATTAATGAAAAGTAGTATTTTCTCAAGGGTGCTTTGTTTTTCCTTTTCTTTTTTTTAAAGAGGACTGATCATCTCAAATATTTATTTATTGTGTGTGGGGCAGAGTGTGGGTGCATGCTATGCTACTGCATGTGGCTTTTTACATGGGCCCTGGGGATTGAACTCAGTTGTCAGGTATTGCACTGCTATTGCTTTTAACCAGAGTCATTCCCAGCCCAACATATTGTTTTTAATGTCATGCCAGTTAACTGGTTTTAAAGTCAATAGGTAGCTAACCATCGGACCTTCTAGAGAGGGCCCTCGAAGAGGGGATCTTCAGGGAAATGCTTTTCTACAGTGGCTTTGAAGGCACAGTGAATGCACTAAAACATGGCAGCTCTAAGTCCTGACTGATTCCTTTTGGCTAAATATAAATCCCCACTTTACTGCTTCTGAGTCAGAGCCAGTCACCCACCCTCTGATCACACATGATCTGCTGTGGGTTTCCTCTGATTTGAAGGAAACTGCCTAATCTGATGGCCCTGGAGCTGATGGCCTGGGGGCTGAGTCACTCTTGTAAATCAGGTTACAGTAGGCAGCAATGCAGGAGTGACCCAAGCTCCCCTGAGATAAAAACTCTTTTTTAATAAATAAGCTTTTACCTTTGTTTGTTTGTTTTTTAAAGACAGGGTTTCCCTGTAGCATCAGTTGGCCTGGAGCTTACTATGTAGACCAGGCTGCTTTTGATCTCAGAGAGTCACCTGCCTCTGCCTCCTGAGTGCTGGGATTAAAGGTGTGTACCATCACACCCAGCAAATTTTTTTGTTAAATATGACCTTTACATTAAAAACTGTAGTGTACACACATTGAGATGTTACACTGATTATTTCTGAGTAAAGCTTTCTGGAGCTTTTCCTCCTGTGCTTTAACTTTCTAATTTCTGTTTAGAAAATAAAGAATTTGTTTTCTCTATGGATTTCTACGTATAACTATGCATAAGAACATGTTAGCTTTATAAGGAAAAGGGAAAAATCCTCTTCTTTTGCAATATAGAGCATATCTATAAACTGCAATAGATCCACAGTCTGATCGAGATGGCAAGAGTCTAAATCTAAAAAGAAGAGCAGAGTCTGGGAGAACCATTGCTGGGTCTGAGAAAGAGACCCTTAAGGAGACGAAAAACCCTTTAGCCCTTCAAGAGCTCATGGCCTGGGGATGATGAGTTATTCCTTTATGTGACCTGAGAGGGAAGAACTAAAACTAGCAGGTAGAAGTTACAAGGAAGAAAAAAGTGTTCTCAGAGAGAATTATCCAACAATGAGGAGTCAGGAAAAATGGAATGAACTGCCTGAGACAGTAATGTCCCACTTTGGAAGTATTCAAACGGAGGCCAGGCAGCTTCCTGTCTGACTTCCTAAAAAGAGTTGGTTTCTCTTTATTTTTTGTGTACATGTATATGTGCATGTGTGCACATGTGCGTGTGTGTGCCAGGGTTGACATTAGCTGTCTTCCTCAGTTGCTCTCCACTTTATTTTTAAAGATAAGGTCTCTCATTGAACCCAGAGCTCACCGACTTGGCTGGTGAGCCCCCGGGACCCTCCTGTGTCTGCTTCCCTAGCATTGGGACACCACGCACACACTGCCACACCTGGCTTTTTTATGTGGGGCAAGCGCTTTACCAACGGAGCCATTTCCCTGGTCCCTTCTTGAAAGAATTATTAAAGATTTAGTCACATGAAATTAAGAAAACGTAAAACAAGAACACAACTACACAGGCAACTATTTTTAACTTATTCTTCCTCTCAAAGTGATTTAAGCAAATTAAGTAGAAAAAAGATGACACCGAGGGACTGAAGAGATGGCTCAGCAGTTGAGAGGACTCATTGCTCTTGCAGAGCACCTTGGTTCAGGTCCCACTACTGACATGTTGGCTCACAACTATCTAACTCCAGTTCTAGGGGGATCTGATGCCCTCTGGTCTCTGTAGGTACCTGGAGCACACAGATACACACTGACAAATACTCATACACAGAAAAATTTAAAAGCCTTAAAAAAAAGCTGGCATTGAGATATTGGCACAGACTTGTCTGTACCTGACTTGTCACAGGTGAAATAGTGATGTAAATAAGTTCTCATCTGTGGCTGTTGTGAGAGGATTACCACACAGCTTCTGGTACAGGGTGGACACAGAATTCAACAGGTATGTTAGGTGTAATTTTTTAATGTACTAGAAGAAATTTAGTAAAAGAAACATTGTAAGAATTATGAGCAACAGACTTTGGGAGTCATTTCTGAGTAGGTGGTGTGAGTGGATGATAAACACCATTACTACTCTATTGAAACAGATTATTTCCAAATGAAGAAAGGGACTATCTAGACTGCTAGAGTGGAGCTGGAGACACAGCTCAGCAGCACAGCACTTTCCTATCAGGCACAAGGTCCTGGGTTTGAGCCCTAGCAGAACCAGACACACAAACACACAGAGTTCTACAATGTAGTAGAACTTGATGTCTGCCTTTTCATAGGACACAGTATTTCTCAAGTTTCTAACAGACTGACCACATAAGGTTTAATGATGTTTTGCTTTCTCTGTGATGTGATAAATGCAAGGGCAGAAGAACGTGTGTTAAAAAAATTTCACCATTGCTAGTGAAAACTTCATAAGCTTTTCCCCAATTTTTGCTTTACCTGTCCTTTGAAGCGATTGGGCGAGTTGTTGTTTCTAGCGGAGTGTGCAGTTGATGAGAGTAAAGGGTGTCCGACAGGATGTCAGCTCCATCCAGCTCCCTGCAACAGTAGGGCCTGCCATGAATTACCTCCATGCTTCTTGCCTAAAAAGGCACAGTCTGGGGGAAAAAAAAAAGGATGAGGGAGCATTTTGTTTGGAAAACTGTCTTGGTCAGTGTCACACTGCCTGTGTCAGGTAGGAAACACATTTTCTACTGTCAAACTGTTCAACTCATCGATACACAGAAATCTGAGGGTTCGTTTCTCAGTCTGTAAGGATCTGTGGACGCTCTCAAATCAGTAATAAACAGCAACTTAAAAGAATGTGGAATGAATTTTAAGTGAACAGAATCCGCAAAGTTAAAGATGAACAACTATGGGGCTGAAGATCCCTACTTCATTTCTAGGCTCAAACTCAACTACTCAAAAGATATCAGCTGATTTCTATCTCGGTGGTCTTCCTGAAAATCCGGGATCAAGAGTTGTCTTCTAAAGGCTTTGCAGATTCTGGACAAGGACTTTGCAGAGCGGAAGATTCGGTGGTGCAGCCTGAGCTGGGCCCCAAATGTACTCTGGGCTGCAGGTCGCCGAGACGACCGAGGAGCGAGCGTCCAGGGCCTGGGCGCCCCGCGAGCTCCTCTCGGGGTTCCCACGCACCTGACTGGTCAGCCAGGGAGCTCCAGCCGACCGCGCCCCCCTTTCGTCTGGCTGAGGCTGGCCTGTCTCCGCGGGGCGTGGAGTTTCGCCGTCTTCCGCACCTGCGGGCCCCGGGAGCGTGCGGGCAGGTGCGGAGGTGGGAGGCAGGAGGGCCGCGGGCTGGCCGGGGACCGGGTTGAGGGTGCCTGTGACGGCAGCGGTGACCGCGGCACTAGGTAACACATCCCGAGGGGCTTGCGTAGGGCGGGCAGAGAGCGGGAGCGAGGAGCAGCGGAGGCTGCCTCAGGACGCCGAGCGAATCTGCTCAGGCCTCCCGGGCGGTGAGAATTGGAAAACGGACCGGAAGTACAGCAAGAAGGATAGATACTCAGCGGGACCGACAACCCGCCTTTCCGCCCTGACTCCTGGGTTTTGACCCCGCTCCTCCATCCAAGGCCCCCGCCCATTTACCGGTAGTTGTCCCGGCCACGACCCTCGCCCCTCCGCCTACGGCCCCGCCCCTTCGTCTATCCTGGTTCAGGCCTCGACTCCTTTTCTCCGTCCCAGGCCTCGCCACCTCCCCTGGCACTGGCCCCCTTCAGGCTCCGCCCCGCCTTTCCTCCAGGCGGGACCTACACTGTCCCCGGGCGCCCTCTGGTGGCGACTACGGCGGAATCTTTTCCTCCTCTCCCGGAGGAGTCACAGGTGGGATGGGCAGAGCAAAAGCTCACACTCTGGAGAAGGGAGCCGGAAAGGGCTTGGTGAGCTCCAAGGTGGGGTCTGTAGGATAACGCGCTCAAACCTGAGCCTCTGCTCTAACTTTCCTGGTTAGGACAGGACAGGTGAGCCTGGGGATGCTGTTTGTCTGCCTGCCCCAAAGGCCGAGCCCCATCAGGTAGCTGCTGCAACCTGAGAAGGTTATTTTGGGTCACAATTTCTGGGGGCATGGTGGCTGGAGATGCTTGGCCTGTGGTGGTGGGAGTTGTGGAAGCTTCTTCATATTTTGGGTCCATCAGGAAAGGAAGCACAGAGCGAAGTAGAACCCTCAAGGCCTACCTTGGATGACCTACATGTGCCAGCTTGGCCCCATGTCCCAGAGGTTACATTACTTCCCCGGATAATGCCACCAGCTGGGGACCAAACATTCAGATGCAGTCTGTAGGGAACATTGCACCTTTAAACCATAACAGCAGCCTTCCAGTACTTTCCATGTTCCACCTTTTCCTGTGTTAGACCTTGGTCCCTTTTCCTCATGGCTTGGATCTTCCTAGGAAGAAACTGAGCCTGATAGGTTGAGCCAGATATATCTGATGAAGATGTGTATTGGTCTATGTGTGGGTGGTGGTAACACCAAGGAACTCTAGGTTGAATGACCAGGACCTGTGTCAAATACAATGAAAAAGAGAAAAGGAATGCATAGTTGCCCTTCAGGATCAGGGCTTATTAGAAGAGAGGGGCCTCCAGTTCATGATGGGGTCTTCAGCTGGGAGAGCATTGAAAAGACAACATATCAGAACCTTGAAGGAAAGGAGATGCTCCCCTTTAAAACCCGAGGAGAAGCTTCAGTTGAGAAGAAGAGAGGGAGGGAGGAAGTGGGGGAGGGAGGGAAGTAGAGGAAGGAAGGTGAGAGAGAATGAGAGAGATCCCTTGAGAGGAATGGGTGCAAGAAATCCCCCAGAACAAAGGGGATACCTGACTTATAACCTTTCAAGGGATGATGGGAAGTTTTACATCATGTGATTTAGTTCAACATAATATACATGACAAAGATTTTGGAAGAGCCAGGTACCATCTAGAATCATAAATTAGGAGTTATAAAAACACATCACAGAACAATTTCTTAACTCTCTGTCCTAGGGCTATATGGCAGGGGTGTGCCCTGATTTTTTTCAGCCTGTGGGATCTGGCCACTTGAGAGTGACTCCTGTTGTTGTAGGCTCATGTTCTAGCAATGTGGCTATAACCCTAGGTTGTAGTGGAGATAAATTTTTATTTTAATTCAGGTGAATGTAAAGGGCAGAGAAATGTAACTGTTTTACCATTGATTTGTCAAATAAAATTTACAGACAAGAAACACTATCCTATGAAATTTGGGGCAACCTAAATCTGTGTTCCCCAGTCATGGTCACTCATACTTGGTTCCAGAATTGACTCGCTTATCCCTCTTGAGGTGAGAGTTGGGCTTTTGCATCAATACCTATCTTTTAAAATATTCTTTGGAAATGCTTCTTATGAAAGGCCCTCAGGGACATCTATGCATTTGACAAACATACTCTATCCGGAACACTTGTGATTGAACTCATTTTGCTTCAACCAACAGGTGATATGACTGTGACCTGCACTAACAGGAAGTGACCTTCTGGTGGATAGTCAGAGTGAATCACTACTTTTAGTGATGTAGTGTGTATAATGGCCAGTGATGCCATTGCTACCCTCATATCACCTTTCTACTTCTGACAGTTGGATCACCTTTTCACTTATTTCCCTAGCAATTTTTCAGACGTGGAAGATAAAATTTAGGCATGAAAAAATATGCATAGAATACTGTGCTGAATAGCTTTAGTGTCAACTTGACACATCTGGGTTGAAGGAGCCTCAATTGGGGGATTACCTGTGGCCCACAGGCAATTCTTGCCTCTTCTTGTTTGTTGAGTGGTGTGGGAGGGCCCAGTCCACTGTGGTTTGTGCCACCCCTGGACAGGTGGACCTATGTTGTATAAGAAAGCAGGTTGAGTATGGGTCAGTGGAACAAGCCAGTAAGCAGCATTCCTCCACGGCCTGTGCTTCAGCTCCTGCCTCCAGGCTCCTGCCAAGTTCCTACCTTGGGTTCCCTCAGTGATGGACTGTGACCTGGAGATGTAAGCCAAATAAACCCTTTTCTCCTCAAGTTGGTATTGGTCAGAGTATTTTGTCACAGCAATGGAGAAGCAAGCTAGAACAAATACTGTGTTTGGTTGACAAAAAAGTCCAAGGCATGATCAGCCCTTTCATCATCCCTTAAAGAATATGCAGGAAGTATATAATAATGAAAAGCTTGAATTATAGTCTATAACCTTTCAGTCTTACAGAGACCTTTAACAAAGTGGTATTTGAAAGACGAACTGAGATTTTGAGAGAAATTCTTGGTAGATAAGAATTTTTTAAATGAAAATTTTGGATCATATTCTTGCCTAGATGTATTGGGAAACCTCTTTCAGTGCTTTTTAAATTTACATTTAAAAAAATTATGAAACTTCCAGATGTGGTGGTGCACTCCTTTAAACCCAGTACTCAAGAGGCAGAGGCAGATTGATATCTGTGAGATGGAGGCTAGCTGGTTTGCATAGAAATTTCCAGAGCAGGTGGGGCTACATAATGAGACCTTGTTGATCCCAGTGTATCTACTTACTAGTAAGACAATGTGTGAGTGTATTCTGCTTTTAAAATTAACCGCATATGAGGTAAATGACTTTCTTCTCCATTTTATTCATTGCCAGTTTCATAAATGTATCTAATCAATTTTAGTTATCTTTGCCTCTGTTCCCCTCTTTCACCCACCTCTTCTTCCACTGACTGGAACCCTTCTTCTTCCCAAGAAGTCCCCCTCCTCCCTTCATGTCTTGCTTGCATGAGTGTGGATGGGAGGTTATTTATGGTGCATAGGCAACTTATTAGAGATTAGCTCTGAAGAAAATGTTACCCCGTCCCATCAACCACTAATTTGTCAATAGTCCTGAGGGAGGGGTAGATCCTCACGGGTCCCTTTAAATGACTATATTTGTTACTTTTGTTGCTGTGATAATATACCATGGCCAGTAGCTACTGAGAGTTTATTTTGGCTTATGGTTCCATAGGGAGAGTCCCGGAGAGATCACATCCCCAGCCACACACAGGAAGCAGGAAGTGGACTAGAAGTGGGGGCAGATGAGGCTATAAACCCTCACAGCCTGCTATACCTCCTAAAAATTCCATAACCTCCCCCCAAACACCACCACCAACCAAGGACCAAGTGTTCAGTTCTGTGAGTCTAGGGGATCTGTGAGTCTAGGGGATTCTCTCTCTCTCTTTCTCTCTTTTATTTATTTTTATTTTATGCGTATGAGTGTATTGCCTGCATGTATGTGAGTGCACCCATGTTGTGCAATGCTGCAGAGGTCAGA